CTCCTTGCGCCGCCCAGATAGCTTACACCCTTGAGCATTGGGGGGTCCCAGGATCGTCTCCTCCTTTTTCGGCCACTGCCCTCTGAATTGGACACCTAAACCAAGCCAAAGCCGCTCGACCCTGGCCTGCTTCGCCCTCGGGACTCTTCTCTGGTTCCGTATTGGCCGCTCAGATAACCCTGATTGCTTTCAACGAATTTCGTTGACACCAGATCATACCCTACAAGTACCACCTGGCGGCAGGGCTTTTCTGACAAGCACAGCACACCCGAATCGCACACTTCAGGACGAGCCACCCACACTCAGGCACTCAAGCACGGAACGCATCCTTTCATTGATCAGCTGGGATTACCCGTGGACAGATCTTCCAGAACGCCGCCCCGAGTTGCTGCCCTTCGCTTCCTCAAACGCGTGCAGTTGACCGTACCAGCCTTATTGGTCCAAATACCACCATTTCTCATCTGCCACAAATAGCACCAATCTCGCTGCGGCGCCCACATATACATAGCTGTCCATCATACCATCCAGACCCGCGCACCTCCTTCCCCGGACATTCTAGGCTCGCTTCCCCAAAGCTTGGGTCGCTGCGACCTTTTGGCATATATACCATATCCCCTACTCGACTCGGTAGCAGTTTCGAGCATTTTTCAGTCTTGCATTACTAGCGAGAGCAGTAATTTCGATACACATCACACGTGTCCCGATCGACATTCCCTACCCTGAACTCGAACCTCTCGGGGGTTTCCACGTACCAATGGGAGATATTCCACCCCCCTCGAGCTCAGAGGATCACTTGACGCAAGAACCTCAACAGCACGTCCACAATGTAGGTTTATCCTTTACTCTTGTATTGTTAGCAAAGACACTCATGGTCGATTTCCCTAGCATTCGCAACACCAGCAGCAGCAACAGCTCACTCAGGACCAGCATGCTTTCTCTTCCCAGTTTAATATGGCCCAACCATCTGGAAATGGCCGCTCCGGCGCTTACAACATGACCAACATGGCAAATGCCCTCCCTCAGCAACCCGGCAATTTTCGACCTGTGGGCTATCCTCCCGTACCTCAGCAGCAGCGATACAACTCTTCTACGCCATCTACGGCCATGATGACTCCACCGATGAACACTCATTACGCACCTCAGCATGTGATGCCAATGCAGGGTCAGCATTTTTATATGCCGCAGCAAACGCACCATTTCTACGGCGGACCGCACTCGCCGATGCAGCAGCAGACACGACCTAATATTGCTTTCTATCCGAACCACATGGCATTGAATCAGCAGCATAGTCAAATGACACCTGCCTATTTTTACCCACAACACAACGCTAACTTTCAACATCATCAAGCCATATCCCAGTCCATACCGTCTGGCCAGTATTACGGCGGAGGTGAGATGATAGGTGAGCACAGAACACCGTCCCAGTCGCCAACCGGAGATCCTGCATTTCGTCTCCAATCTGTCCATGGATCGAAAACAGGTGGTGGGTTCTTCTACTCCCTGAGTGGCTAAGGAATTGCACTGATTTGTCAAATGCAGAATCTGGCGACGAAAATAAGGCTGGAATTGTCCGAGGTCCCCCTCGCAAGCCACGACAAAGTGGTAAGCTATTTTTTCAGTCGTCTAAAACACTATCTGACTATCCTGAGGCCATGCTATTTGGATAGGGAATCTGCCACCCCAGACGGAGTTAATGAATTCTTGTTCATCACGTTTGCAAAGA